CTTGCCACGAGGGTGAGAGCTGAGACCATAACCCAGCGACAGGTCTCTCTTGCCCGTTCTGAGTGCACATCAGCAGCACATCAGAGGGAGTGAGGGGGCCGCCACGGCTGGGGTTCGGCGCGCGGGACCGTGGTCCGCTCCGCTCCGGGTCTGCGACCAATCCTCGTTCAGCGCGTGCGATGCGTTGCGATATGGGGGAGCCGGGAGGGGGGAGGGAGTGAGGGGGCCGCCACGCGAGGGCTGGTGCTCTAGGAAATACCACCACTCCATTGCTCTTACCATTATACCACCCTCCCCCCAGGTGCCAGGAGAATCAAATAAGTTGTAAACCACCCATTTTATCAGTAAATCGTCAAATGGCCAGCACTCTGACACTCTGCTCATTCGCCAGAGCACGCAGCTCCCACGCAGGGACCAGTTCTAGTGGCTGCTATGGCCTATGCCACATACACATAACTCGTTTCAAACTCGGTGTCGTACCACCGGCCCGACGCGCTCTCTCACAATTAGCGACGCCGGCCCACAAGCTCAGAGATCCGGATTTGAGGGTGGCTGGCTCATCTCCACTCTCATGTTTGCGTTCGTGTGGCTTCTCGCGTGGGTGCCCGAGGCCAAGGCCAACCTCATGACGGGCAAGCCGCTGTCCTCAACGCAGCCGAGGTCGATAGCACATTCCAATGCCACCGACGGGCTGCTGGCGCCAGCCATGCAGGCTGGCCGACCGCATCCGGGTTAGTTTTTGCAGCCCCGCTCGTCGCCGAGATCACGGTGCAGGCGTCTCCTGGCGCTGGCCCTCTGTGCACCCTCCCGTGCCACCATAGCTGATCCTGCGAGAGCTCATCCAGCCATGCTCGTTTCTGCTGTGGAGATCAAGGACTGCTTTGTGCGTATGGCGGAGTCATGCTTGCTCGACAGCTCCTCGAGCACGCCCGGCAGAGCCTCCCTCGCCGCCTCCACACTGTCGTCGCTGTGCGCGATTGCCATTCGCGCTATATGACTGCGAAACTCGGCCAGGCCCATGGTTGTGTCGGATCCGAATGTGATCACGCCCCGCAGTTCCTGCTTGTCGAGCTTGCCATTCATGTCGACGTCGAGCTTGTTGAAGAGTTCCTTGATGCTGACCGTGTAGCCCTCCGTGACGTCGTCGAAGTGCTGCTGCTTGCGACGCAGCGCGGCGGCGGCGGCGGCGGCGGCGTATTCCCCCTTTGGACGCACGGGAGCCATTCAGGGCAGCAGCGCCACGACAGAGCGAGTGTCGCCCGTTCGGCGTATTGCAATACTCGACCGACGCGCGACGACCGTCGTAGATCTATCTGTGGCTTGCGTCCTTTTCGAGCTTTGAGAAATATTACGAAGTAAAGTTTAACCGAAAACGACTCAAGTGGACACAAAGACAAGTATAAGGTGGGGAAGACCAAGTCAGTGATTCCCAAACATGCGCTTGCAGGGTGATCACAAAAAGGAAAAGTCAAATGCCACCGCTCAGCGCTCATGTTGAACTGCATGTGAACTGCCCATCCGCATCCCGGGGTGCTATTTCGGGTGCACTATTGAAGATCCCTCACACCAAGATCGTGCAGGGCGGAGACACATGTCCCTAAATCCCATCTCGTCTCAGAGTCGTTGTGCGTTTTTTAATTTTACGGCAGTTTGGGGAGAGAGAGAGAGAGAGATTTTTATTAACTTTTCTTGCAGTTTGGCTAATTCCATGGCCCAGGGGCTGCCCTGGCCCAGGGGCTAGTTAGTGCCATTTCACTCTGACACGCTAATCTTGAAAACGTCTCCAACGGAGCTCCGTGTTGCGTCCAGCGCCCTCCCCCGCGTCTGCGGCCATGGCCGATGCTCCTAGTATGAGAGGTCATCTCTCTCTGGCTACCGCGAGAGCGACCCAACTCGTCGACATCGTCCGATGGTTGTGCCTCAAAGTCAGCCTTCGGAGGCTATCGTGGGGTCGAGCCGGCGGCGGCTGTGACATGTGGTTCCACCACCCCTCGTAGGCTTTGCCTCTGACCGCCACCGTTCCCAGGCTGCCTAATGGGATGGAAAGGAAGGCTGGGCGAGCGTATAGAAGCGTGCTCGACCTCGTCGTGGCAACCACGCAGGACATTCGTTTTTGGCGCAAGAGAAGGAGAGGTCAGTGTAGTATTACAACTCAGGTGAAAAGTGACTAATTCCGCCCGAGTACATGAACATGAACACAACACCGAAAGGACGTCGCAATCATGTGACGGAAAGTGCGCTCCTCCTGACAAAGTGCGCTCCCCACCTCTCCTGGTCCTTCCCCTCTCTGGTCGTGGTGCGATGCTGTCGACCGCCCTGCTGCACCTCTGCCCGCTCGCGGCCGCCGTGCCGTCACCGACACCGTGTGAGTGCGGTCGCTCGGATGCCAAAGCTTCCACGTGCTCCGTCGAGCAGTTCCTCGACGCGACGTACTTTTGGGACTCCGTCGACCCAATCCCTGTCGACCCAAACTGCGCCAAGGACCCATACTCGGCGATGGGGTCTGAGATTATTCAGGGCTTCAAAACTTCCGACGACGGCAACTACAGCATCATTCAGGGCCCGTCCCCCTTTCCGCCGGGCACCTGCGGTTTGCGCTCCTCGTCAGATCCGCGTGTGTTCGGGCCGCACTTCTGGAAGACGTTCCACACAATGGCTGTGAACTATCACTCACCACCGACCAAGGCTGCACTCGGAGCTTGCTCCGCCTTCATCAAGGCCCTGCCTTACATGATCCCCTGCACTCACTGCGCCTGGGACCTAGGACAGTTCATCCAAACGAACATTGAAAACAGCGGCAAATACAACGAGACCTGCATGGGAGCTACCTCGGAGCATTTTGATGAGTCCTTGTGCTTTGCACCCGAAGAGGCCTGCAAGTCGCAACGCTCGCTCGTCAGCTTCTTTGTTCGCGCGCACAACAACGTTAACAGCCACACGAACCCGTGCCGACCGCGCTTTACCATCAAGCAGGGCTATGACATGTACAAGAACTCCTCGCCAGACTTCTGCGCGCGTGACATCGTTTGGGGCTCGAAACAGATTTGTGGTGGCGGGTACTGCGCCCCGCGGGGACCGTGTGAAGAGATGGTTGGGCCGGTAGGAACCGGGACAGGAAGCGGGCCTTCGGAAAACGACTACTTCGGAACCGACGAGACAGAGGGTTGCACCCTCGACACTGCTCTTTCCTGCGGCAGCGTGGCCTGCAAGGCGGCGTGAAAAGTGCTATAAGAAGAGAGGGGGAGGATAGACAGTATATGATAGATGCGATCGCCAGCTAGGCGCCCAAGATAGAGGCCCATTCCGAATTAATTAACAAGCTGTTGAGAGAGAAACAGAGATTCTTCTCTCTCTCTGTCGCAGCTGCCTATCTGGAAGGCACCGAGAGGTACAAAATGGCGCAAATGGTCAAAATCAAAGTTTTGTAACGCGAGCTGTGCCACAGTGAAATGGAACTAGCCTTTATCATCCGGGTGCACGCGGTGGGTCTGGACTTTCCTGACACGCGACGCCCCCGAATGCTGCAAGAGACGGGGGCAACAGAGCGCGAGAGGCCCGCCCAGACGGCTCGGCGGCATCGGGCGCCCGACCCGCGGCGCGGGACGCGGCGGGGACAGGAGGGCGAGCCCCGCGGCGTTGTCCCCTCCCCTCTAGTCGGTCGCCTCCTCCTCGGCGAGGCGCGCGGCGAGGATGGCCTTGGCCGTCGCCTATTCTCCGCCAGCTGTCGGTTTCTGCGCGAGTTCTTCTTGTCGCGCCAGCTCTGGTCTTAAGCGTCGCCTCCATGCAGAGCGCCTCCTGCTCGTCCTTGACGCCGCACCTAAAAAAGAAAAAAAAACAGGTCCGAAAAGGAATACAGCGCCCCCTGCTCGTCCTTGACGCCGCACATCTTTGGGAGGAAGGAGTCGTCCTCGAACTGCGCGACGCCGAACGGCGCGAGCCTGCAGTGTGAATGCGCCAACACCATCGGGGCGGGGCGACGGCAGGGCGCAGCGTCTCCAGAGCACCGCGAGAGTGAGAGCGATGCGAATACCGCGAGCACGGCTCGACTACTACGTGTCCTCTCGAGCGCGACGTGGCATGCAAGAAGACGTCTTCCGCTTCTCTAAGCGGCGCGAGCCCCGTTCGCGCGACGCGGCCGAGATATGGGGAGATATGGGGAGATATGGGGAGATATGGGGAGATATGGCGCGAGCCCCGTCCGCGCGACGCGGCCGACGAACTGCCGCAGCGTGTTAGCCGAGTGGTTGGCGATGAAGTCGCGGTCGACGAGCACCTGATGGAGAGTGAAATGAGTGAATGAACTAGCTCGTGTCGTTTGAGCGCGAGGACGGACGACATCGGAGGGATGACCTGCTCGTACTCTCGGGTACTCTCGGGTACTCTCGGGTACTCTCGGGTACTCTCGGGTACTCTCGGGTACTCTCGGGTACTCTCGGGTACTCTCGGGTACTCTCGGGTACTCTCGGGTACTCTCGGGTACTCTCGGGTACTCTCGGGTACTCTCGGGTAATCTCGGAGGGGTGGCCTGCGCAGAAACAAGGGAGGCGACTCTGTCCTCCGACGCCTCTCCGAGGTGGTGGCCGACGCTACATCGACGAGCACCGACGTGCAGGGCACGTTGGCGCCGTACGTGAAGTCCTTGGTCACGCCGCAGACGGCGAGCGCGCCCTTCTCCATCTGGTCCGCGACGTAGTTTGTGTAGGCGATGTCGCCCTTTGGGTTGAGCGACGGCTCGAGCGGCATGTGCGCCGCCACGCCTACCGACAGGGGGCATGGCGACGCTCGGGGCTCCCTTCCTCTCGGCTCGAGCGTGCGTGTGCGCTTCCGCGCCCGAGAGGAGCAGCGAGCGCCACGTGTCGTCCACCGGCAGCGAGTCCACCTTTTTGAAGTCGCCGGTCGACGGCACCGACCGGTAGAAGGCGCCGTCGAACTGGTTGACCATTTGCGGCGCGAACTTCTTGAGGTGCGCCTTGGAGTGTTGTCGACGCGGGCATGAGTGAGAAAGAGTGCGTGGCTGCTTCTGAGGTGCGCGCCTTGGAGTTGGTCGACGCGGGCAGGAGTGAGAAAGAGTGAGTGCGTGGCTGCTTCTTGAGGTGGCAGCGCCTTGGAGTTGACAACGCAGTCCTCGGGGATCTTGAGCAGACCCGACGACTCGGAGAGGCCTACAGACACGGACGTCTCGACGCTGCAGGAGCGAGACCGTGTGCGGGCAGCGGCGGGAGAGGGGGGGGGTGCGAGGACCCATGTCGCGCAGCTTCGCGGCGATGATCTCCTCGACGCGGTCCTCGCCCCCCTTGACCTGCGAGAAAAAGAATTCTTTTGGCGCGGGAGAGTCTCGACGTCCCACCTCGGTTTCTGTGCTCAGAGTGGCGTGACCTTCTCCGCCTCCTTGCGGATGTTGCTCATCACCTGATTCAGTCATGCAATCAATAGACTCAATTCAATACACGTCCTTCATTCGAAGCTTGAGGGTGTGTGGGACATCACCTTCTCCGCGGCGGCCTCCTCCGCCTCGAGGTCCTTGTTCAGCTTCTTGAGCGACGGCATCTCGGCGATCAGCGCCTAGAAGACAGAACCCCGCCCACCAATCTTTCTTTTTTCTTCGTGGGCGGCGGCATCGCGGCGACCCGCGCCCCGGACTGCACCATGATCTGCTTGTGCGGCTGCGCGGACACGGTGAGCGTCATGCCGGGGAAGTGGTGCGCGTTGCCCAGCAGCAGCTGCTCGGTCGAGTACGGCGGGAAGATCGCCTTCTGCATGTTCGTCGACGGCGTGCAGAAGGCCTTGATCAGCGCCGCGTCGCCGCACTCGCACAGCGTCTGGAGCATGTAGCTCGCATAGTGGCGCAGCGTCGAGTGCGACAGCTTGGACAGGTCCGAAAAGTGGTCGTCCACCGCCGTCACCGTGAAGCCCGCCCGCTGAGCGTGCGCCGCGACGTCCTCCTCCTCGAGCCGGTCCTACAAGAACAAGAGACGGCGCGCGCTGCCTTGCAGGCGCGGCGTGTGGCGCCCGCGCGGCTCGTGAGATCCGCTCGCGCCTGCATCGAGACGATCGCCTGCGCGGTGTACGCCTTGAGCAGCAGCGGCTCGACCTGGAGGCGAGGTCACCCGAGATCGCCCGAGATGGCCCGAGATGGCCCGAGATGACCTTGAGCAGCAGCGGCTCCACCTTGAGCCGCCCCACGAAGTCGGCGAGCGCTTGCGCCGGCTCCTCGGCCTCGGCGACCATCGAGTGCGGCAGCGCGACTTGCCCATTCGCCTTGACGAGCAGCACGCCGACGTTGAGCTGCATCGACACGAGCTCGGCGACGCCGTCAGCGTCCTCGACGATGTTGAACCGCTCCTTGACGCAGTAGCAGCAGCAGTGAGAATGATTCTCACTCCCGGTGATGATTCTCATCACTACTGGTAGTGATGATGTTGATCCGCCCCTTAGTAGCAGCAGGACGGATCATAATGATGCTGGTAATAACGATACTGATGATCTCGATCCGCTCCTTGAAGTATCCAATCGGCGTCTGCAGGTACGCGGCCGCCGGCAGCGTCGCCGACATCCAAACTGTCTTATACGGCGCCTGTGGACATGTCTCGGACATGTCCCGGACGTGTCCCGGTCGCCGCCTCTCCAGCCCTGTGTCTTGTGCGCGCGTCGAGCATGCCCGACACCATCGCATGCGTGAGCGTGCCTGGCCCGAGCGCCTGCCCGCCGCCCTGGTCGGCGCCCATCGTCGGCTCGTCGATGATGAGCACCGTCTTGTGCGGGTCCATCTGCATCGAGAGCCAGGAGCAGGACGCGACGTCCGTCACGAACATGCGCGGCGGCCGAATCACCTGCGCGCCGACTCCGTGGTGAATCCGCTGGCCAGTCCTCTCATTGGCTGCTTGGGCACGAGCCGCCGATCACTACTAGACTGCTCGCCTGCCTGACGCTGGCACCACTCCTGGCATTGCTGCTGCTGCTGCTGCTCCTGCTGCTGCTACTACTGCTGCTGCTGCTGCTGCTGCTGCTGCTGCTGCTGCTGCTACTGCTACTGCTGCTGCTGCTGCTACTACTGCTGCTGCTGCTGCTGCTGCTGCTGCTACTGCTGCTGCTGCTGTTGCTGCTGCTGTTACTGCTGCTGCTCGCCTGCACGTGCCGCTTGCGCGCGCGCTGGTTCGAGAGGCCGCCCGTGGTCTCCTGGATCCGCTCCACGCCAAGCCGCAGCTTCTCCTCCATCTGAGCCTAGGAGACAGGGCCTCGCCCGCCTCGGAAGGAGGAGACGCCGCGGTGTCGCCGCTCGCCCCTCCGTCGTCTGTGCCATCGAGTTGGAGGTGGAGGAGCCGCGCAGGCCGCACAGCCAGGAGCAGGTGATCTGCTGGTTGTGCACCCACGCGAACGGGATCCCCATGTTGTACAGCGTCTGGGCAACCTCGAGGTTGACGCGGCGCGCGAGGCAGCAGAAGACGACGCGGTGCTCGGGAAACAGCTCCGGCAGCGCCGGCGCGAGCGACGTCTTCCCCGTGTCGGGGGGCGATCGGAGGAGGACGAGCTGAGGCCCGGGCCGCGCGACCGCCTTGAAGAGCTGCACCTGGGAGGGGTACGGCTGCAGGAACTTGGACGCGTGCCGAGCCTTGAACTGGGACGAGGAGAGCAGCGCCGGGTGCTTGCGCAGGCACCTAGTACCATACCCCCACAGTACCGAATCCAGCGTGGGTTCAGTCCCGCCGGTGGTGCGGCAGGCACTTGTGCACTGTGAACTTGACCTTGACCTTGAGCGCGGCGAGGACGTGGCGCGCGTCGGCGAGGATCTGCAGCGGCGGCAGCTCCTCGACCCCGTACCGCATCTTGTACTGCGTCTCGAAGATGACCACCGCGTCCGCCAGGTTGCGCACCGTCTTGTAGCGCGCCTCCTCCGAGTCCTTGTCGCCGTCGCTCTTCTTCTTGGCGAGCTGGCCGGCGGCGGTGCCCATCTCCTTGGCGAGCTGGAGCTCCCACGGCGCATCGAGCACCAGGTTCTTGCCCGGCTCGAGCGCCTCGAGCCAGCCCACCGCCCGGTCCCCAACCTGCACCTTTTTGAGCGTGTTGGACTTTGCCGCCTCGCCGTTCATGATCCGCATCACGTTGTCAATCTTGATCTGCGTCTTGGTGTTGACGCCGCCGCCGCCGCCGCCCTTGCCGCCGCCGCCGCCCTTTTTGCCGCCGCCCTTGCCGCCGCCGCCCTTCTTGCCCTTCTTGCCCTCAGCGGCCGCCTCCTCTGGCAGGTCGAGCGGCAGCGCGGCCAGCTTCGGCCGGATGTGCGTCTTGTAGCACCAGGAGGCAAAGTCGTCCATCTCGGCGAGCATGTCGCCGAGGAACTTGCCGTTCGAGTCGTCCAGCTGCATCTCGCCCTTGGTGCGGATCTGCGAGCACGCGCGCCGCAGCATCTCGGCGACCGTCTTCTTCTGGTACGAGAGCGCCGCCTCGATGTTCTTCCACTCCATCTTGTTGACCGAGTCCATGAGCAGGTCCGACGCGCCGAACCCCTCCGGCTCGGCCTCCGGGTCCGCGGCCGGCGCCGGGGGAGCGCTGCTGGAGGCGGCGGCGGACATTGTCGGCTGGTCGTCGCGATGAGACGACGCGGGCTAGTGTGAAAAGAGAATTTACGCGGCGGCGACGGAAAACCCGGAGCGCGGTACTAACCCTCGGAGACCCGTGTTTACTTTACGGCCCTTTCCCTGCGAACGCGCACCCCCGGGGCTAGGGCTCTCTAGCCCGCAACCCGATGCCGATCATCCGGCCCGCTGGGTGCGCTTCTCAGCTCCCCGACGAAGGTCTGGATTCGGGTCCAGGGCTGGGTGAGGTATGAAACCGCAGAACAAACTTCTAAAATCTCTCTCTCAGAACCGAGGAAGAAAGAAAGAAAGAAAACAGACAACCAAGGGAGGAGCCGGGCGAAAATTCTTTTCTTGCACGACACTGGGCAAAGAAAGAAAGAAACAAAGCAGACAACCCAAGGGAGGAATGGGAGGACGGCACGCCGCCACCACACAGGGATTTTAAGGAGAGGAGTGTGGTGCTAGCCATCGCCTACCCTAACCCTTGGTCGTCTGCCTCTTTCTATCTCCCTTCGCAGTGGTCCCTCGCCGATTCTCGCTGCAACCTTCATGCCACCTCGCGGTCGTCCCACTCTCGTCGTTCTCCCTCCTGTCGTTTCCTCCTCTGTCGCGTCGCTCTCATCTGCCTCGTCCTGCGACGCTGCCGCCGCCTGCCGGTCCCTTGCTCTCGCGGCTTCTCCCGCCTTTCGGCGCAACTCTGCCCTCCTCGCGGCATATTTTGGCCCCTCGAGTTTATCGAGCTCTCCTCGCGCGATGCTCCCAGCTGCGCGCCTCGTGCGCGCGGGTGAGGCCGTCGGCGCGGGCGCGCAGGCCCCGCGGACGTAGGCAAAGCGGCGGTCCGCGTAGCGTGCGCCGGAGGCCATCGGCGGCTGCCGGGGGACGCTGACGGAGAAGAGGCTGAGAGGCCGAGCTGAACCGGGCCGTAGGGCGTGTTCGAATCCTAGGGCGAGCCGCTGCGGTCGGGGAATGGACGAGCCCTGAACGTGAAAGTAGCGCAGACATGCCTCGCGTTGCACGCATCACACCAGTTCACACACTTCGCGGCGACGGACGGAGGAAAGGACCATGAAGACGAAATGGCGGAGGATAGAAAGTACGTGCCGAATCCTAGGTGGCGTACGGCGTGTTCGAAGGACCGGCACGATTCGGGAAGCGCGTCCCGGGAGACGCACAGGTAAAAAAAAGGATCCCAACGGAATCGGGCCCTGCGGAGAAGAGGAGATACGGACGAGGCCGTCGTGGCAGAGCTGAGGGGGTTATTCGAGGCGCTGTAGAAAGGAGCCGACTAGTGGACCTGTCGGGCCACCACCTAGGTGTTGGACCTGCTCGCTATGGAGCTGGCGACTCACTTTAGTGGCTGGAAGAAGCGCGATGTCATCGCGCGGTTTGAGCGTCAATCTAAACAAAATAGGTCAGGTCACTGGTTCGGTACGTTGTTCGGAGCAGGCCGCGCTAGATACAATGTCTTTCTTTTTTCTGTTAGATTACATTAATAATGGCTCGGTCACTGATCGGACTCTTCGAGGCAATTGTATCCAGCACATATGGGTAATGTGGACGGAGGGACTCGGTATCATCCGTAGCATTCTCACGATCTGGAGGGTTCCCTACCCCCAAGGCGCGGGAACCCACAGTGGTTCCTGTAGACATATGCCCAGTCGTTCTGTGTATATGCCGGCGCCTCGCGCAGTCTACCGGCCTCCGGCGGCCCGCAGCGCGGCCACCGCCGCCGCCGGCGGCGGCGGCAAGCAGGACGTGCACGACGCCGAACGCTCCGCCAACCGCGCCCGAAAGCTTGCGGCGCTCACCGGCGTCGACCGCGACGAGGCGGCGAGGTCCGCCTCTCCGCAGCGGCGGCCTGGCGACCAGGATCAGGCCGGAGAGCCGCCTCGGCCGGCGTCGTCGCCTCCCGATGCCGCGCCTGCTGCTGCGGCGGCTGCGCCGGCCACGGCGTCCGATGCTGCCGCATCGCCGGAGGCGGCAAGTCAGGAGCCGCCGCCACCGGACCAGGCGGCTCCGGCTGCGACAGGAGGCACGGCGGACGGAGTGGGCGGCACGAAGGTCGGCAGCGGACGCCGCAGCACTCCGCAGCAGACCCGGGCGGCGGCGCGGGCAGAGAGGCCCACCTATGTCCCTCCGGCACGGGCGCGTGCGGCGGCGGCGGCGGCGGCCGAGGAGGAGAAGCGGCGCTCAGCGCTCGAGGCGGCACGGCGCGAGGGGGCGGAGCGGCGAGCGAAGGAGCGGGCCGCCGAGGACGAGGCGCGAGGCGCGGGGGAGGGGGTCGGGCGGGGCGGGCAGGGGCGAGTGGCGCGAGGAGAGGTGGGAAGGGGAGGGGAGGAGAGGAGAGGCCCGGGCCGGCGAGAGACGGGCGACGGCTGCACGCAACCGCCTCCCTCCAGCACACCGCCACCCCCTCTCCGCCTTCTCCCGCGATCGCACGGGACCCGCCCCCCCCCACACCCACACTCCCCCCATCACCTGCATCCTCCCCACTCCCCACCGCGCAGGCGCGGGAGGCGCGCCGGCGAGCGCTCGCCGAGAGGAGAGAGAAGGCGGCGGCGGCGGCGGCGGCGGCGGCGGCGGCGGCAGCGGCGGCCGAGGAGGAGACACGGCTAGCGGCGCTCGAGGCGGCGCGGCGCGAGGGGGCGGAGCGGCGGGCTAAGGAGCGGGCGGGGGAGGAGTCCAAGCGCGCCGCTGCCCTCGCGCCAGTACCCTACCAAACCCGGTACCCAAACCCAATGACACGGAATAGGCGCGCCGCTGCCCTCGAGCGCGCGCGAGCGTCGCTGGAGCGGGTGAGCAGTTAGTTAGTACACAGTCGCTGGAGCGGGTGAGCAGTGCTGACCGCTGCTACTGACCTCGCACCCTCTCTCGCACCCTCTCTCGCACCCTCTCTCGCACCCTCTCTCGCACCCTCTCTCGCACCCTCTCTCGCACCCTCTCTCGCACCCTCTCTCGCACCCTCTCTCGCACCCTCTCTCGCACCCTCTCTCGCACCCTCTCTCGCACCCTCTCTCGCACCCTCTCTCGCACCCTCTCTCGACGGGGGGTGGGGATGAGCA